ATATCCTACCACAGGGACACACGCACATCCATGTCTATGGCTGCTCTAGCTTAGAGGAAAGAGCACACATGGCAACTGTAGAGCAGGCTAGGTTGACACAGAAGACGAGGGTGCTATGCTGATTAGAAGGCGCATGTTTGCTATAATAAATCAAGATAGAAATATGTGGGGCAGACACATCACTGGTAAAAGATCTTCTCAGCCAGTGGAGAACTTACTTCTCCAATTTCCAAAACCATGAAAGAAAATTTTTGACACAGAAAGTTATTTTATCAATACTGCATAAACTATACTTTTGTAGGACACTTGGTCATTTGAAAACATTGATTTGTAAACATAATCTGGGCATCTGTACATTGCTAAACAAAGATGATAACAAAAATTTATCAGTGTAACACTTCTCACTGGTTTATATTCAGATTAGTTCTCCTAAGCGTTTACATTTGTGGATGCATATGCACTTGCTGAAGCAGCCTAGTGCCTGTGTGTGTGTGTGTGTGGGGGGGTGTTGGCTCAACACAGGTCAGGATGCTGAAGCTGTCTTGTATACAAAAGCTCTTGCAGCTCTTGAGAGAGTTGGAAGAATGCATTCCCCCAACACCTAAATGGCTCTATGAATAAAGATAAAAGGGCTTATTACAAATATGTGTGAGAAATTACAAAAGCACACAGATGCAATCATCAGTCCCTTGTTGAAAATACCTTCTGCTCACCCTCCCTCTAGATCTCGCTCTTCTTACCCATCCTCCTGTTACCCATCTCCTGCTTTGTCCCTTGAAGTTCTGCATGAAGCAGACCACAACTTGCTAGAGCTGTAGACAAAAGTCACAAGATTCCACCCACAAGGGGCTCTAAGGATGAATTCTAAAGGGTGCAGATGACTAATGTGTGATCCCGGGATGCTCTGAATGCGGAAGCTATTTTGCTCCATCCCTTTCCCATTGGGATCAACATTGCCTTTACCACGGGGCAGACTGGAAGATAAGGTTTACTAAAATAGGTCAGCCTTGCAAAGGGCACTGTCTAAGACAGTAGCTTCCAAGAGAAATACAGAGTGAGCACAGCCACATGTATAATTACGTGTTTTCTAGAAGAGATACTAAAGCAAGGGAAAAAAAAATCAAGGTTAATCTTAATATATCTTCATTTACTGAGTATTATCGCTCAACACATATTAAATGTAAAATTATCCATGGGATAGTACATTTTTTTACATGCCCCAAGTCTTCAAATTGTAGAGTAATAATAGATCTTTGGACTTAAAATAAATGCATTACAGTTGGGCCAGTCACAGTTAAGGTATCCGGTAGCTACTTGTGGCCAGTTGGTTACCATGTTGAACAACAAATCTTCTAAGAAAACATTTATCCCCTGTGTATAGTTTTATTTGAGATTATTTTTCAATTAAAGATATTTCAAGTATATGCTGGCAAAGGTCTTCCCATTCCATTCTGAGGTCAGAAATCTTTCTGGACAGATGTGTTATAACACTTAGCAGCACCGATCCTGTTTGGGATGTGGTGCCACACACAGGCAGAGTCCTTTCTGGTTGAGTCTCAGACATAGCAAGCTTGGTTTTGACCACCAGCTTTGGAGCTGGACACCCTGGGTTTGAAACCTGGCTAGATCAGTCATTGTGTGCCCGTGGGTGGTTACCACACTTTCATGTGCCTTACCCTTCTCATCTACAATATTTACATAGTCATACATACACGATAGTATTTCCTTATGGGGACCAATGAGGTTTAGGTCAGTCAATTTGCATAAAGTGCTAAACCCATCACCTCTCACAAAGCAAGCACTCTTCATGTGTTTTATAAAACATATTTTAGAAATCTTACAAGCTTTAAAAATCAATTTTCACTTTCTCAATGTGGTCAGTAAATTATTTCTTAGGGAAAAACGTTTTTGAATGGAAAATGGTATAGTTCTGAATCAGATTAAAAAAAACCAGAAAACCCAGGAGCTGTGGACCAGTTGGAAATAACAGCTTGTCTGTGCTTTGAATTTTTAATTAAGGGAAAACATTTTTGAATGCCTAGATTTATTTTTGAAGCAGTTGTAAAAATAAAGCTCATGGGGGAATCCTGGTTAGTGGCAAGGAATTCCACACAGCCACAGTGATCTCACTGACACCCGATCAGGAGATGGAGACCATGCACAGGTATGAAGCAGGCGGGGCTCAGCTCCACTCACACTGGAAGACATGATTCTTCTTTCATTTCCAGTGCACAGACACAAAGAACTTTTATTGTCATTACTGCTGCTACTCCACTCTCCTCCTAACCAGCAGGCTCAAGAGTGCCAGACCCTCAGTGAGCAGCTCTCAAATCTGACATTGCCTGGCATCCAACACATTTTCATTCCCTTAATTATCAGTGACTGGAAACAAATAATTTAATTCCAGGGAAAATGAAAATGAATTAACGGTGCCAACTCCATTTCCCAGCTTTCTAATTGTCTGTAACAAAGGATAAAGAGGGACGTGTGTTGCCTTGGTGTGAGATTCATTTGAGAAAATAAAAGGCAGATGGACAATGAGTGAGATCCTATTCCTCACCCCAACAAACACTGGTGTACACAGCAGGAAAATCTTTTTGTACAGAATAAACATGTCAAGTCACAAAGATTATGTTATCTTGGTGAAAAGAAAGAAAAGCAGAAATCTGAGCATGGCAACACACACCTGTAATACCAGCACTTGAGATGCTGAGGCAGGATGATCAAGTGCTGGAGGTCATTCACTGAGACTCATAGTGAGATCCTACCCAGGGGGCGGGGCAGGGGGACGAGAACACACCGGGAGCACATTTGGCCATTTAGAGACAGTGAAACCACAAGCCCAGGCAGATCTCAGCCTAAAATCAAACCTTTCCCAAGCCCTGCTGCATTCACAGCAAAGACAACAGGAAGACATCTAAGCCTCGGATTTGGAAGGTCCAGGTGACCTAATTATGATGTTGCAAGTTAACAGGACTGATTATAGCCGATCTCAGTTATAAATCTGTAACATGCAGGCTGTGGTCTTGGTGACCCAGGACTTCTCTTCATGTTCTGACGTTTGTGATGAATGGACCTGGTGGGCAGATGCTCTGCCCAATGAGACTCCGCCACGGCCAGGCATATCTCTTCCATGGAACATTCTGGAACCTTAGAGTCAAGCAAGCACAAGACAGAGCTGACAACTTCTTGGCCCACTGTGAGCCAGACTTGAGCTAAAATGTCACTGATCCAACCTCCTATGCTGACTGGTAGACTACAACATCACTTTGGTTTACTAAAATCCAGTCAGGGTCCAGTAAATTTTGAGAAGCCCATCTTCTGTTTATTTATTTTGTTCTCGAAGCATAGCCATCCCCTTTGGAGGAAGATTGTGAGAGATATTCACGATTAATTTTTGCTGACATAGTGGTATCCTTCCTCACGAGGACTTGGCTTCTCCCTTATGCAAGTTCCAGGTCTGTAAAGAGGTGCCCACTTGGAAGCTGAATGAGGAGCCGTGGCTGTTTTTAATAATTTTTTTTTTTTTTTTTGGTTTTTTCAAGACAGGGTTTCTTTGTGGCTTTGGAGCCTGTCCTGGAACTAGCTCTGTAGACCAGGCTGGTCTCGAACTCACAGAGATCCGCCTGCCTCTGCCTCCCGAGTGCTGGGATTAAAGGCATGCGCCACCACCGCCCTGCTTTAATAATTTGTTTTATTTAGAGTTTTTTTCATTCGATATGGGACATCTCTGCTTATACAGATTAAATAAGAATTTAACAGTTCTCTATTTCACTTCTGAGGACCACGTGACTCACAGACATCAGTCTCCAGGGTCAGGCCATTGTGGCCACACCTTGCTCCACTGAGCTTTACAGTACCTATGGCTATCTTCCCTCAGGCAGTTAGCATGCTGAGGAGTTGTCCTGTATCTGCAGGCTCCAGCCCTTTGGAGCGTGCCCAACACATACTGATACTATCCTGAAAACTACTTGTGTAGTTGAGTGTATGTATGTAAGAGAAAGATGTGCTGGGGACCTCTGATGTTCTTCCATAGAATTGTGTCCTGCTCTGTAGGTTATGATCAGCAGCTGTTGGTGGTAACTTCTCAAACTCATAAACTATCTTGCCTCCCTTATTTCATTTTTTAAAAAAAAGTAGCTATAGTTTCTAACAATATCTTGAAAAGATTATCTCTAAGTTGTGAATTGGGAGGCAGAAATTTATATTTCTACCAATTTTTCCTTATTGAAGTGGAGTTTTCATACTCTCATAAACAGGCCTTTGGGTTTTACACTTATGGACCCTGAGTAAGTGCGTGCTTCGGTCTCCTTCAAGAAAATAGCTCTATCATTGATGCTGCCGCACCCCCTCACATGGCTAGGAGTGGACTCTAGTTAACTCCACCCAAATCAGGAATTATGATCAGAACTTACTATGTTTCCTAAAGCAGCCCCCTGCCCCCACAGTTAAAGACACACAGGCCACCTAGACCAATAAAGCCACAGTACTTTTTTTTTTTGAGACAGGATTTCTCTCTGTAGCTTTGGGCCCTGTCCTGGAACTAGCTCCTGAGTGCTGGGATTAAAGGCATGCACCACCACCACTGCCTGGAAAATCCACAGTATTTGAGACAGCCTAGTCCTGTATTTAAGAGCAGTCCCTAAATAATGTGAATCGTTGTCATAGACACAGCTTTTTCTTACTTAAATCTCTAAAAAGAAATGTGTGATTCTGAACATGTTTTGCTGTGCAAACAGAATTCCAACTTAAGCAAAACCAGTCCCTTTGAGCTAAGTCACAAGACCACCTGGCACAGAAGCATGGGTGTCTCGGTACCGTCTCGGATTTAAATGTCTATAATTACATTCCCAGGAATGAACACTGTGGCTTCTTAGGCTGACACAAAAATAGCAGAAATGTGTTACAAGTTTCTTTCTTGGTGCTAAGATCTTACAGAGTGTAACTCTACAATTGGGAGCAAACACATTGCTATAAATTAGGAAGGAGAAAAACCTTACCCGAATCCAGAAAGCAAACGACAGAGGAGAAAGAAGCCATAGCCTTGGACAAACGAAGAAAGGAAGGCAAAGAATCCGTTGACAGACATGCAAATCAGGAGAGACTGCTTCCTGCCCACTTTGTCTGCCAGTCCTCCCCAGAAGAACGCCCCCACCATCATCCCGAGGTACACTATGCTGCCTGCAACACACAGAAAACAAAAGAACAGGTCAGTGGTTGGGGACAAGTAGCACGTGTAATAGCAAACAGGGCACAAAACACAGTCCAGCATTTGTACGGGGAAAACACCTCTAAAAGTGCGTTGTTAGGGATACAGTGATTAGCACATCGTTAGGGATACAGTGATTAGCACCTCATTAGGGATACAGCAGTTGGTTGACAGCTTGGAAGTTAGCTCTGCCAGATCTTTGACCACCCGGACTCCTCAGAAGCACCTATGGGAAGTTATTTCCTTTGCCATCACATGTAGAAGATAAGCGGGTCATTCCACCCCAGCCTTTTGAGGACGGGTATGCAGTGGGTGGGTATGAGAAATCTCACAGAACAATCTTGGAGTCTGACTCCAGATTTCCATTTCTGGTCCAAAAGTCCTGTGTGTCACCATGACAAGGACGAGATGAGAAACTAAGTCAAGGGCCTTCCAAGGTCAAAGTGGACCTCCAGACTGTTTCAAAATTCTGCTTACACCAATGGCCTGTGCTAAGGCCAGATCTTAACTCTTCTAGAAGATTCCATGCTTTTAGTCTAGATTCTAGCCCTTTCTGTGGAATTGAGGAGAGTGGATTTGGTGATTACAAGCATGAGACATAATGGATTCTAGCTCTCCCGCTCTTCTCATCAGAGAAGGTCTTTGGAGCCAAGAGTTCACTGAGACAAGGAACAGTTGAGTACATCAATAAATGTTATTGGCTTCAACCCCTAAGGAAAACAAATGAAAACTAGGAGTTAGATGTTCCCCTTGCTGTCACTGTGAGTAGTAGACACTTGATTGTTTTACGGTTTCTTTATTTTTATTTTTTCTGTGCATTGGTGTTTTGCCTGCATGTATATCTGTGTGAGCATGTTGGATCCCCTGGAACTGGAATTACAGACATTTGTGAGCTGTCATGTGGGTGCTGGGAATTGAACCCGGGTCCTTTTAACTGCTGACCCATCTCCTCAGCCAGTAGGACTCAGCCAACCATGATAAGCTACTAGGAGCAAACCACCCAAAGGAAGCTCTCAACTTCCAATCATTATCACCTGCCAGTTTAGGACCCAGCCATGATAAGCTTAATGGAGGCCTGAGTCTCAGTAGTTTACCCTGAAGCAATACCCAGTTGCAGGAAGGACCATAAACTGAGATTACCCAAGCACCACCCAAGAACAGACCATCCAAAGGAAAATCCTAATGTTCCAGCTGTTGTAGATAGGATCACCTGCCAGCACACACTCACCAGGACACCCCTAGACAAATGTCAGCCAATCATGGGTTCTGAACCTTAGATATCTCTCACCCCCACCTTTACTACTATAGAAACCCAACTCTAACCGAGCTCGGGGCTCTCCGATCATAATATGTGGAACAACAGAGAGACGGAGTTTGCAAACTTGTATAAAATAAAGGCTCTTTGCTTATACATATGGGACTGGGTTTCCTTGTTGGCTTTTAGGGGACTTCATGGATCTGGGCATAACACAGCCCTTTTTTAAAAAAAATATTCATTTATTTTTATTTTAGGTACATTGGTGTTTTGTCTGCATGTATATCTGTATGAAGTGTTAGATGCCCTAAACAGGAGTGATAGATAGTTGTGAGCTGCCATGTGGGTGCTGGGAATTGAATCCAGGCACACAGCCAGTGTTCTTAACCACTGAGTCATCTCATTCACTCTTCCCTAAGAAAAACAAACCTCCAGTAAACATTATGTAAACCTTGGTGAGGAACCTAGGTGTGGCAAATGTTAGTTCTCTCTCTCTCTCTCTCTCTCTCTCTCTCTCTCTCTCTTTCAAGAAAGATTGACTTAACACAGATACTGTGTTACTGAACGCATGCCTGCCAGAAGAGGGCACCAGATCTCATTACAGATGGTTGTGAGCCATCACGTGGTTGCTGGGAATTGAACTCAGGTCCTCTGGAAGAACAGACAGTGCTATTAATCCCTGAGCCATCTCTCCAGCCCCGAGAAGCCTTTCTGAAATAGTGAAATGCCCAAGAGAAAAGTCACAAGTGAAGGTTTCTTATGTCTAGAAGGGACAATAAAGAGATTGTTCCTTCAGCTTTTCATCCACCTTTTCCCTTTCCTTCCTTTCCCTCTCTCTCTCCCTTCCTCCCTCCATCTCTTTCTCCCCCTCTCTCCCCAAGATCCTAATGTACATTCAAGGATGACCTAGAACTGACTATATAGTCCAGGCTTGCCTTGGTCTTAGCCCTTCTTTCTTAGCCTCCTTGGTGCTAGGATTTATAGGCATGAATCTCTTGGTCAAGTACTATTTTTAAATATACATTCCAAATAGTCTGACATTGATGTAAGAAAACAAAAAAAAAAGTGGAGCTAATAATTTATTGATGGAGATTAGTTTAAGAAATAGTCTCTTTAAATAGTCACATCCCCTTAACTATTAGTGACCACATAATGAGTCAGTATGAGGCTCAGGAGGAAAACAACTGACAAGGCCTTCCAACCATCATACAGACTGTTCACGCAACCATGGTGAATGGAAAGTGTCAGAACAACTGTAAACCAGACCCTTTCCTTACCAAAATCAGCTTCCAATCAGGCTGGGATTCTGCAAAGAAGTGGACCGAGCCTTGTGTGTGGCAGACATCATTTCCTCTTTCCCACAGGACTGGCTACACCCCCTGCCTCTCAACAGAGATTACCCACATCATGAGATCCAGAGTGTGCCCAGAAGGTGGTTTAAAGAACACATCCTCGCAAAGTAGACAGACTCAGGGAGGAAATGCTTAGGTAGCCTAGCCCACACTGACAGCTTCAGCGGCACGTGCTTGCCAGTCACACCTCTCAGGATAGGGAGGCTAAGCTGCTTAGTGGTGGTGTCTGCGTCTTTTAAAAAAATCTACATGTAAGAAAGTGAGTGTCTAACTGTCAGGAGCGAGTGACCTGTAGCTTCTGGGATTTAAAAAAATCACGTGAAAGTCTTGCTTAGAGTTAGGGGTCCAGAAACAAAGCCCCTCACCCCCTTAGGTCCTTCAGTTTCCTTCTGCCCCAAGAGAAAGCTGCCATGACAGCCAAACTAATCCCATCTCTCTGTGGCTCTCTCCTTTGCTCTGCTGTAGGAAGGGAGGGCACAGCAAAGTATACTATCTGCATTCAATCAATAATCACTTAAATCATTTTCCTTCATTCCCTTTCACCTTCCTTCTCTTCCTTCATTTCCTTCCTTTTAAAAAGGTCTCACTATGTTGCCCAGGCAGGTCTTGAACTCATGATCCTCCTGCCTTATCCTTCTAAGTATTAGGGTTGTAAGCAGGTGCCACTGCACCTAGACTTCATTTACTTTTTCAATGAGAGTAATAACCCCTGCTGTTACTCATGCTGACTCTGCATCTTTTGGGTTTTTGAAGAACATGCCACAGTTTGGCTCATTTGAACTTCACTACAATCTTGAAGAGTGGGTATTATTAATCTGTGTCATAGATGAGGGGACCGAGAGATTTTGTAGTATGATCAAACAAACAGAAAAAATGGCGCATTAGGGTAGTAAGTTTATTTTTGTCAGGCTAAAACCTGCAGGCTTCTCAGGATTCATGGTGTGTTGAAAACACCAGGCCTTGTGGCTCTGGATCCTCCATTGGGACTCTTTGGACTTCTCCTTGACCTTAAGGGTTAAAACCTGGTGCTACAGGACAATGCCCAGTGCTGTGAAAACTACTCTGATTCCCAGGATACCTGTTACCAGTCGGGATACCACCACTGTTATTTCTGTCAAGCTCACCTTGGAACTACTTATTACGCTCAAATCAAGAACCGGATCGTATAAAGTAGACGATCTAGCTCTTCTGGTTGACCTCAATTTGTTCCATTTAAGAGATGTGAATCTGAGTGCAGAGGCAAGTGTAGCTAATCTGGGTCCTCCTTGTCCCCTACACTCTAATCACCCATGACTCCCTACTTCCTCCAACCGCCTGCTCATGAAGTCATTTGGATATTCAGCCTCTTGAGAGAGAATCGTTTGTAATCTAGACAGAGTGGCTTATCAAAAAGTAAGTCAGAGGGCAACATCCAGGCTAGACTTTTCATGGCTTCCTGGGGATAAATGGCCAGACGAGAATAATGCTGAAGCAGGTAGCCATCTTAGGGGGGCACTAGAGTCCACTATATGTTCAGTGGGATACTCGATCAGGATATTTTAAGGAGCATGTTTAAGGAGTGTTGGCCTGGCCCAAAGCAGGAGGTGTGCTCTCCAATAGAAGAGTTAATGGGGAGAGGCTGTTAATTCTCACGCAAACCCTGGGGGGTTCCTTTAAGAATGGAACGTGTGAGAGGGAAAACTTGAGATGACATTAAAGTCTGCCACAAGTGGGGGGTTTGTCACAAAGGCGTGCAACGTCAAGCTGTGTATCCCTTCCTCTTTCACTCTGGTTAAAAGTGCTTACCCTCTGAAGGTAGCATCTTTTGTGGCTTGTGTTTGTATAATATTGGGATTGGTAACTAGACTATTCCACCAGGCAAGCTATGGAAAGGCTTCAGCCTACCAAACAGCTTATTTGAGAGAAGAACGTAGAGATTAGAATTTTCACTTGTCGATCATGAAGTCTAGTTAAAGCCAAACATTTGAGTGTTTACAAGGGCTTGGTGTGAATAAAATTGTAACTGATCAGAGTGGAAGGAGACATACTGTACTTTCCACTTGTGTCCAAATTGCTACTTTGTTTCCAGGGTATTGTTTAGGGAGTCTGTGAGAACCTTCAGTAGCTATACACTCTGGATGTGCCCCCTGCGTCCTCCCTCTCCTTTCTTCACCATGCTCTGCTGGCCAGGATTAGGCAGAGCCTCAGTCAAAGGCCCTCTTTTTAGACAGGAGAAGACCAGAAGTTGTGAGAAGGCAGAATCTGAAGTCACTCCTTTTAGACATTTGCTCTTCAAACTATAACCTTTGGACCAAGAACTTTGAGAGGAACACAGGCTCTTGTGCTTCCTGGGTCCTACTTGCTCACTTGAGCCTGATCCCTAAAT